GTGGACAGCTTTTCATCCACCAGTACCCCCAAGTCCTTCTTGGCGGGGCTGCTCTCAATCCTGTCATCCCCCAGCCTGTATTGATACCAGAGGTTGCCCTGACCCAGGTGCAGGACCTTGCACTTGGCCTTGTTGAACCTCATGAGGTTCACATGGGTCCATTCTCAAGCTTGTCCAGCTCCATCTGAATGGCATGTCAACCACACCACTCAGCTTGGTGTCATCTGCAAGCTTGCTGAGGGACTCGGCACTCGATCCCACTGTCTATGTCATTGATGAAGATACTGAACAGTACTGGTCCCAACATGGACCCCTGAGGGACGCCACTCATCACTGATCTCCATCTGGCCATTGAGCCGTTGACCACTACCCTCTGGATGTGACCATCCAACCAATTCCTCATCCACTGGACTCCAATTTAGAGAGAAGGATGTTGTGGGGGACTGTGTCAAAGGCCTTACAGAAGTCCAGATAGATGACATCCATAGCTCTTCCCTTGTCCACTGATGTAGTCACTCCATCATAGAAGGCCACTGGGTTGGTCAGGCAGAACTTGCCCTTGGTGAAGCCATGCTGGCTGTCTCAAATCACCTCCCTGTCCTCCATATGCCTTAGCATAGCTTCTAGGAGGATGTGTTCCATGAGCTTCTCAGGCACAGAGGTGAGGCTCACAGGTCAGTAGTACCTTTTTAAAAAATGGGTGCAATGTGTCCCTTTTCCCAGTCACCAGGGACTTCACCTGCCTGCCATGACTTTTCAAATATCATGGGAGAGTGGCTTGGCAACTACATCAGCCAATTCCCTCCGGACTCTGGGATGCATCTTGTTGGGTCCCATAGACTTATGTATGTTCAGGTTCCTCTCAGGTGGTGTTGAAGCTGATCTTCTTTTACAGTGGGAGGGACTTTGCTCCCCCAGTCCCTGCCTTGAGGTTTATCCACTAGAGAGGTGTGCAAAGAGCGATTAAATAATAATGGAAATAGAAATAATGGGAAAAAATGTAATATCTTTAACTCTACCTAACCTCTGAAATATTTATGGTTGAAAACCCACTTTCTTTTACAAGTGTAATGATTTATTCTTTCATAATCCTGTAGCAATGAGAAAGACAAGGTCATGTTTATTGAATGTATTAACATTAATGAATTACAGAACATGGGTGGACACTTTTAATTCCCTTAAATCATTGTGTATTAATTGAAGTTTCACTTCTTCTTTGTCTTCTCTGGGATCTTAACCGTGGTAACTCTTAGGACTTGGAAGTGAGGATGAGAAGCATTCTCGCCCTAGGTGACACGTGCTTTTCAGCTCATAATTCTTCTAGGTTTTTTCCTTACCCTTTTTCTTCTGGATAATGGGGGGGGGGGAAGGATTAATTAAGTTTTTAAAGCTGTTCCTGCTTACTCCAAGCAATACAGCAACTGGGGGAAATGTGGTGTTATTTTCTATTTAATAATAATAAGCCTTAGCTCTGGGTATTAGAGAAAAAGGAATATGAAGCAGAATTGATTCTTGCCGTTGTATACAATGTACTTTCTATGTGTCTATTTCTGTTCTCTAACTGAATACAGATTCAGATATAATAGTTCAAGAAAGAGCCTCAAAAATCAGTCAGGTGCTGGAAAACTACTCTTACAAAATAGTATCTAAAAAGATATATTTATTTGGCCTCATAACTATCCTTAAAAGTTCAGAAAGATAGTATCTCTTGTATTACAAGCTCTATGTCAGAATACTACTTTGGTATACTGGATCAAATGACAAGAGATGTAGTGTGCCAGGAAACCAAGGAATGTGCTGTATAATGAGCCCTGTCCTCAGAAGAATGCCATTTGCATGGCATGCAGCTTGCTGCTGTGCAGTGCCGCTTCTCTCTGCTAATGGGTTTACTAAGCAGATTCAGTCAATTGGCAGAGTGAAGTAATCTGCTAGCTAGCTGTGTCTAGTACATGGTGTTGCAGGGCCAGAAAGGTTGTGGCATTGTGTTGCTTAAATACATTGCACTTTTCAGATCTTTTTATTTGGCTTGTCAAAGAAAAGAAAAGGCTAAGAATTTACCTGGTCTCTGTATATAGACGCTTACACATGAGAAGGATCTCTAATGAGAAATCTCTCAAGCTTTTTAACAGAGACGTAAGATCCAATCACTGAAACTTGAAATTAGGCAATTTCAGTCTGCAAAGTAGATATAGTTTCCTAGCAGAAAGGATAAATAAACATTGGAAAAGTTTATCAGTGAAAGAGGTGGATCATCAATGTCTGGAGTACTAGGGGGGCTTTATTAATTTAAATTTAATTTTTATTAATTTAAAATATATGCTTTAATCTGTCATCTGGAAAAAATTCCACAGCCTGTGGCAAAGAGGAGGATGAGAGGAGAAAGGAGGATGTAGTGTTTGTGGTGGATTTTGGTAAGACCAACGAAACTTCCGGTCTAGGAATTCAGGACTCTGAATTCCCATTTCTTTTCTTTTTAATGTTTGAACTTTTGGGATTACATGCTTTGCCTTGGCGTGCTCTTAATATTGCAGTTCAGCATTAAGACAGAAGTCATAATCAAGATACAAGTATCTAGCCTTTGGTTAAGAGTCAGAAACGATTCTAACAATTGGCTTAGATATGTTCTGCACATTTACACCCCACTCTGTCCTCACATTTGCATGCCCATGACTAGAAGCCTGAGGATGGATAAGTACTCCGAGACAGAAGAGAAGATGCCAGCGTGACTGGTATTCATACGTTCATAATCATACTGCTGACATACTGCATGACTGAGAAGAAAAACTATGGTACATACCACTGAGGAATTTGTGGGTGGAGTTATACTATCCTCTGTAGTAGATCATGGTTCATCAGCAGGGAACATATCAATACCTTTCACCCAGTTTCTCATGATTGCAGCAGTTTTGGCCTCTATTGAGGACTGAGATATGTGTGTGTGCATGTGTCTCTGTGTGTGTTCTCTCCTCTGGGCTTGCTTATATCTGACAAGTCTTATGTTCAGACTTCCTTTGCTGCCAAGCAAGCAGGAAATGAGAGGACAAGTCTTTGAGACTCATCTCATTCACTTGTGTCCTTTAGTAAATGAGCGGCTGTGGCACAGTATTTTAACCAAGGTTTTGCTCAGAGACCCTGACAAGGGCAGAACTAAGCATATGCAGGGTCATGTGCAGAAAGCCCTCAAAAATGGAAATGTGGTTTTGTTTAGTACATATGCCCATGATACACAAGAGGTAGGGGGTATTAGCTGGGTCAGCTTTGAAATTTATGGCATTTTGGGGGTGAGGGGGGAATAAAAAAAAAAATGAAATCACAGCGTCATGCTAGCTGCTGATTTTTTTTCTAATGTATGTTTGTATTTTATAGCTGCTTTTTAATTCTACACATGATGACTTGTGTGTAGATGGAGCTCTGAGCAAGCTGTAGATTTTTTTCTGTTTACATTTCTGTTGGACGAAAATTATATAACTCACTTGCATCCACTGTAGGATTGTTCAGTAGGTCAGGCTGAAATGAGGGGTACTTGAAATACTAGTTTGTATTTTTTTAATAACGCACTAAGACTTGGTCATGGAGAAAGTTTCCATAAAAAATTGAATCGCTCATGCTGCTTCAGCTTTATTTAAAGTCATCTTCAAGTTGGCCGTTGTTCTTTGTGTAACATACAGGTTCTATACTTAGTGCCTTTTTTCCTTGGTGCTCTTGGGAGTGCATGCTTGTATGTAAGCTTAAAAAGTGCATTATAGTGAATCTTTTGTTCAACTGTCTTTCAGATTCATGCACTTCTAGTTTCACTTGTGTTAAGCAGTTAACTGAGAAAATAATTATACTGAAGAAGTATTTAGTCTAGATAATCATGTGCTTGTTTTACAGGTACGCCTGGTATTAAAGTTCTCATGCCTGCACTTTCTCCTACAATGGAAGAAGGAAACATTGTGAAATGGTTAAAAAAGGAAGGTAAGGTAGCATTTTCTATGGCCACATTTGTTGTAATTCTTCAGCTGTATAAATCTATTCTGTAACAATAAGATCATTCTTTCTGGTTGTACCTTTAGTATTTTGAAGCAAAATGTTTGGTATATGGATGTTGTCTTCTTGAACAATACCTGCTTTGAAATTGTTGGTTCTTGAAACATTTTTCCTTTAGTTATTTTCCAAAAGGTTGCATTGATCATATTTTTGAAAAATTTCCATTAGGCTGTTCCAGGGTGTGAGAGTGTGTGTGTGTTGTTTTTAATTCCCAGTGTTGTCATGCTGATCAGTAACTTTGGAAATCTGAGAGCCTTTGACTTTGGGGAGGGTCTCTGTTTCATTGTTTGGCTGCATTACGAAATAACGTGAAAGATATGGTATTTTTATAGTTGCTATTCAGGGCTTACTTTTTCGATATCTAAATTATAGTCTATAATCAAAGCTGATAGAAAAATTTAAATTACTGTCATAACCCAAATTCCAAATGGGGAAATCTCTTTCAAAAAAACCCAAAACAAAACCTGAAACAAAAACCAAACTACTCCTCCAAAAAAAGCCCGAACAACTTCAGTTATCTTAGGTTCTCTGTGCTCTGACAACTGAAAAGTAATGTACTTCTGTTAAAATATGTTGGAGCAGCTAGATAAATAGTCTGAGTATGTTTTGTCCTCACGTAGGTTGTATGTAAATGAAAAATGATCTGCAGAAGAATTGGCAGTCTCTGTTCTGTCAGGAGACCTTTCTCCCCTCTCATCCTACCCTTTCCCCTCTCCAATTTAATATTAAAACTGGTTTTGACTGTAGTTTTGGAGCCCAGGTAGCAGTTGTCCATTGGTATAGGATGCATTGAAGAGTTTTAGATGACTGTAGGAATATATCTTGTTCTCAGGCATTTTTAGATTTGCTAAAGAGATGAACACATTTGGAGAAAAGAAAATCTCTTAAAGCACACTATCTTTGACAGACACAATTTGGTGAGCTAAATGCGTGTTTTGACTATTCTGCCTAGATAAGCCATTTCCTTTGGCTTATCCTCTTAAGTGTTGATACGGCCCCCATCATTGTGTTACTGGAGTACTTTGCTTTTATACATTTTGAATACATTTTGAGAGGTGGCTGGAAGGCAACTTGTTGTTCCAGTAGTGGACAAGACTTTTTGCTTGTAAAACTTCTAGTAAGAATTTCTGCAGAATTTACTAGGAGCAACAATATGGCAGTCAATGTCTGTAAAAAGTAATTGCACCAATGTTCTTGAAACTTGAAGCTTTAGTTAGTCAAGTATCAAGTCCAAGATTATGCCCAGTGAAAGGAATGATCCAAAGTCCTTTTTCTATTCATTAGTTGTCAATAACTGTAAGACATTAAAAATCACAGTAGTCTGTTTTACAATAAATATAGCATTCAAAATTGCAAGAGAAAGCAAAGAAGAGAGGATGATAGGAGTTAAAGTAGATTCCAGTTTGCTCCACAACCTGAATGAATTGGTTTTTCTCATAAAAAGGTCTTAGGACGCAACAGCTATACAATGGTTTTTCTCAGTCTTTCCACTACCCTTCCACCCAAACACAAAAGGAAAAAAAACCTCCACACCTATTTTAATTAAATTAAAATCAAATCTTAATTGATGGTTGGACTTTGAGAGAAAGCTATTTTAGGGGGTTTTATTGCTCTACTTTCTATTTAGAAATAAGACCAAAACTGAATATAGTATTACTGGCACATTATTATAGTCGTATTTGGCACATCTGTGACGATAATTAGTTCCTATGGATTTTTTTTTTCCCTCTGACAGTCTGGAAAATAAATATAATGACAACATTAAAAAAAGTGAAGATAAATTTTGAAGAAAAAAGCAAAGTGATTTAATGCTTATACTCCTTCTGTCTGCAAGGGATGCTTATAACTACATAATCCTCCAGTGAGTTGGCCATCTAAATGTAGTGGCATTACTGAATATAAATGTCTGATAATCTCATATCCAAGAAAATAAATATTTTTAAAGCAATTGACAGAAGAAAGGTGATTGTATATGAAATGTTTTTCCCACTGCATAACCAGCAGGGGTCAGTAAAATACTATTTTGATAATTTTTCTGCTCTGTGTAAATATCAAATGTTTTCATTTTGCGGTTTCACAGGATGGACAGATGATTTCAGTACTGCAGAAGGAAAGATGCTGAATTTAATTGACAGCTTTACTATTTCCTTCTCATTGTTAATGCAGTTTCATATTGATTCCTGTGGGTAATAAAGTTGTTCTCATAAAAATAAAACTGTTTCTAAAAACTTGTCTTTATTAAGTATGAATTTAATGTTGATGAAAGATGATAGATTGACAGCCCAAGGGACCGAAATCCTCTTGTTATTGTGGGCAGGAAACAGAACAGGCAACAGTGCTAGCAGTTTCCTCATGCAGTGTAACTCTGCCGCCTTCTGAGACATCACCTCCAGGGAGTTCAGTCTCTATGCTCAGTCAACTTTGATTTGATTTGCAAAGAGTACATCAAGGAATGCAGTTTGTGTCTTGTGATTTGGGTACTTGTCTGTCAGTAATTGAACAGAGCACGTAGCGTATTGAATGCCAATTCAATGTGATCTAGAGGGAAACTCGGCTTCGGTAGGGATCCTAATCATTCAGCCTAGCTATAAGAACTGAATCAGTTTAAAAAAACCAAACAAACCTCACTCAAGATTTTTCAAGGGCATTATATATGATCTCAGAGAGCTGCCATTCAGGCAACTTCTGGTGCAAATACTGCTCTTTCATTAGAAGGCGTAAAAGCCAAGATACGCTCTGCAGAAGTGTTCTTTCCAATCCTATATATTGGGAAAGCTGATTTGTAATTGACATCAAAGCAGGCATCGGTTAGGAGCTATCACAAATTTTGCAGTCTGTAATGAAAATAACTATCATCCTTTCTATTGCGCTTGGGTACTGAAACACACATAAGGTTTTTTTGAATGCTGCTATGAAATAATCTTCATAAAATTGCATTTAATCAATTGCCTTCCAAAGTTATGACCACTTCTTGGCTGCTGCAGTGAAAGGAAAACAAAAAAAGTAGTGGAAAAGTGGTTTGCCCAGTTCTCTGAAGACTTTTCCTCTTGCTTTCCCTGTGCAAGGGAATCCTTAGCTTTCTGTGAACAACCACACGTACCCAAGTTAAGAGGTACATCATGTGTGACAAATGCATGGACGACGGTATTTGCTTTGGCTAGCTTGCACTGTTGGAGTTACTGCTGCATGTTGCTTAGCACTGAGATTTCTTTTTAATGGTGCAGAATACTTACAGTCTGATTGCAGGTTGGGAGAAGATACAGAGTTAATTAAGATACAGAGTTAAGCTCCTTTCTGCTTGACTATCTTAGCTCTGTACGTTACAGAATTTGCCCAACAATTTGATTTCTTAACATCTATAAAGAGCTTACCTGATGATCTGATATATGGGCTACTTGAATTTGGATTTAAATGGATTTAAAACACTACAGAGCTTGGAATTTTGACTTCCTGTTATAAACTGTTTATACTCTAGTTATTGCAAAGTGCAGTGCAGCAATTAGATTATTAAATTAAAAAGATCAGGTGCTACTTTGTGTATTCCCCTGCCAAGTTCCATAATAGGAACATTTATGACTTACAAAACTATGTGAGTGAGCTTTGAATGTTTTCATTGTTTACTACTGCAGAGATCACAAGGATCATACAACACTTCATCTTCCCCTTCTAATTCAGGTAGTCCTGAAACAGGAAATAATTATTTTTTTAAAAAAAGTGTTTATTGCTTACCTAAATACAGGTGGTAACCTGCACTAGGTTTATTCTGATGCTTAAGTACAACAGAGAGTGATATCAGGAATTAAATAAATGCTTAGACAGATAATACTGTTGCAGCATTTCTGGTACTGGGGAAATATTAAAATTTTACTTGATATAAAAACTGTAGTCATGTGTTAGGCTTGTATGTATTGTCCCTATTTTTCAGTGCTCTGTAAGGAAAAGGTTATCATATTTTGTTGGAGGCCAAAACATTCAACTACCTCAAAGTTTTTCAATGTAATTTCAATTTTAATGTTGGCCATCTAGTCAGTATTGATCTGTTGAAAGAATCCAGATGCATATCATCTTTATCATGCACTAGCAGATACAGATATTCTTCAAAAGCAGAGGAAGCTTCAAAATTAATCGTAGATTTGTGTAATGTAGTGAAACCAATTTCTAACACTTGTGCATATTTTTATTTCACAAAGTAAGTATGTTTCTAAAAGACTTTTTTCAACTATATAGGAGATTGAGGAAACAAGACATGCTTTCCAAAGAGATTAAAGTTCCTGAGATTTTTATTTGAATATCTTTAATAGTGTAGATACAAACTAGAGAACTGTGATACTTCATTAAAGATGTTGCCTGTGACGATTATCTTAAAAAAAAAATACAGTTTTAAATAGCTTGCTTTGACTTATGGCTAGCAATGAATATGGAAGGCTCAGGATTTTATTCATGGCAGTGTTACTGAGTGATGATGATGTGGAAATAAATGTCATTGTGTGTGTACTTCCTCTTGGAAAACCTACTGTAAACATAAGCATTTGGAATATGTTAATGTTCTGCTGCAGCATTTTGTGTCTCTGAATCTTAGTGGTTTTATTTGGAAATGAAACATACAAAATGATAAAGATGGGGGATCAACTAGCTATAGAATATATTAAAGAATGTAAAATGGCTGTATCATGGATAAATATTTGTCTTCCATGGTTAAATAGATCTGAAGGGAAGCTTAGGCTAAGTATTCTTAAGTTCTGTTATATTTTGCAGGTGAAACAGTGAATGCTGGAGATGCGTTGTGTGAAATTGAAACAGACAAAGCGGTGATTACCATGGAATCAAGTGATGATGGCATATTGGCTAAAATACTGGTAGGGATTCTGCCTTTCTGAGTAGGACGATATAACTTCTCTTCAGGCTGTTGTTTAGCATATTGCCTCAAAAACTAGTTTAGATAGGTATGTTGGGAGAGAAGGGAGTGGAAAAAATGTAGAGATTGAGAAGTAAAATGTAACAAGATGAGTGGAATGAACTTGAAAGGGAAAATTCTTGGCTGAACAGAGGTGGTGGTTTACAGTGAAAGATACTGCAGTTACAGAATTCTCCACTAGGAGAACAGATCCAAGACCCCAGTGAAAAGCTGTATTGAACAAAATCCTTTTTGTGATAGGAAGAAGGGGAGACACCCCACCCTCCCCCCACCCCCGAAACAGAACAGAAAAAGAAACCCCTCTTGCATCAACAGTAAGACCTGACTGAGAGATCCAGCCTTTAATTTGAAACTTTAATTGACAAAAGTAATTTTTATGGAGCTATAAATAAAATTGAATTTACTATGTAAGTTTTCATTAACTGGATGCTCATTAACAAGAACTAGGGAGACACTTCTTTGACTTTTCTCCTCTTCACTGAGATCCTTTATGTTCTATGGTAGAAACCATTTTAAACTGTAATATGAAGGGTAATACTCTTAAAATGGTTATTTTTGTTTTGCATGATTTGTTTAAAGGGTTATTAGCTCATAATTTGCATAACAATTTTGTTAGTGTTTTCTTAAAACAGTTTTTCAGAACCTGTTGATAATTGGAAAATATGATTTCAAAATTAAATGTGAGATTCCTTTTAAGCTATAGAATCTTTTCCCTTCCTAACATATAGGCATCAAATACCAGATTAGAAGTATATTGTAGACTGCAATGCGTCTGAAATGCAGGAAGAAATAATAAGAATTCCACTGTGTTTAGGGTGAAATGAAATTAAAGTATTTCTAGTTTTAGTATGCAAAGTTGTGTAAGCACAAAGCAATGATTTCTTGAAGCTTAAATTAAGATTTCAACTAATCCGTACCTCTTCTGGAAAAAAAGGTTTTTTCTATCCATTTTAGCTCCATGTGATCATGTCTTTTGATCAATAAAAAACTATAAGAACTCTGAAACTTTTTTAACTCTACTCAGTACTCTAAATCCCTTTGTGGAGATGATAACCACTATTTCAGTCATGCATGAATGCATGACTTTCATCATAAGCATGAATGCTTATCTTAACAACTCCATGGAGCTGTTGGACTTCATCTAAAAGAGCTGACTGTTGTAGTTCCACACTAAACAGTTTATCGAATGCTGCCCTGCAAATGTTGCTTTATATACATGCGCTTGTTAATAATGAGACTATTTAAAGCTTAATGGCATTCAGTCAAAATTGAAAAGGATTTATGAAGAGATACTGTTGTCTGAAAAATGAAATAGGCATGAAATTTAAATATCTGGTTCCTTGATGTTTGCTTTGTTCCATTGTTTCACTGTGTTTAATACAAACACTTCACAATCAAATTAAGTTAATGTAGAAAGTGGGAAGAAGAACTAAAAACTGGGGGGGCTGGCTTTCCACAGAAATCTTATGCTGTTTCTGAAGACTGTAGTTACTAAATTTTGTTGTGACCATAGTATTGCTAGTAAAATTTCCCTGGAAGATATTGCAGTTTTTGGTCTTAGCACTTAGATATATTTGTAATTCTAAAAAGGGTGGATATTGACTATATTATTATAATTAGTTAACTGCAAAAACCTGGAAGAGAATACAGAAGATCAGAGTGTGATCAGAATGGGTAAAAAGGTGTGAAATCTGGCAGTGTAAGGTGCAGAGTCAAGGAGCTATATATAGATAAGTAGGTTAGACAAGGACAAGTCATTGACTACTGCAGCCTCCTATACTGACAGCAGCTCAAATTTACCTAGACCACTTGCTGGCAGAGACTCTTTACATGCTATAAGACCATTCTGTATTTGCATTTAGAAAAAATATTTTCTCAATCATCAAAAGTAAATCATTGTACAAAAATAAACTGTCTTTCTTATTCTCTTGATGCAGTGGCCACAAATTGCAGCTGATAGCTGTTCCATTTAACACAATCATTTATGTACTGGAAGACTCTTAACATATCTCTCCAAGGTATTATCTTTTGCAAGTTTGAAAAAGCTTGGGTTCTTCAACCTCCAAAGGATTGCTTTCAAAATTCTCTTTTGTTCTGTTATAATCTTTCAAGCTCTCTTTAACAATTTGTCTTAAGTATGGCGCTCTAAACTGGATTAAATATTCTATCTGAAGCCTCATCAGGACTTTATAGAGTGAAATACTTCTCGAGTATTTAATGGAGCATTTCCCAAATGAAATAAGCTATGCTTCTCTCGCCCTTCCTTTTTGCAGCAGTGTCTGTATTGACTCATGTTTAGCTAGTAATCCTGTGTAATCTTGGAGCCTTTTCTGCTTAACTAAAACAGTGTTATTCTACTAACAGTCCTACAGTCATTAAGAACTAAGATTGCACTCTGAAAGGAAATGCTGTTGAAGGCGAACTTTTATAGTAAATACTATGTAATTTGGTCAGGGAGGTCTCATTGAGGGAATATCTGCACAAGAGGTGTGGACTGCATAATTATGTGTAGGCATACTGGTATTAGTTGCAATCGAGCTACTTAGGAAACAATAGAATGGGCACAGGTACAAACTAGTTCCTGGAGCCATCAGTGTAGAAAAGAGAATTCTACCCTATGCACAGTAAGACACGTGTTTCTGCTGCTATTAAAAAAGCTATTTGGGTTGGTATATTAGGTTGCCTATCTCTACTACAGTTATATTTTCTTACAACAGCATGTATTTGCATATTTATCCTTTGCAAAAAAAGGGAAAGTGGTTTCCTGTGTGGCAGCACTTAAGAAGTGATGGTCTGCTTAGTATCATCCATTTTTGTATAAGCGAAGGGAACATCCTTTGCAAAAATGAAAGCATCAGAATAGGTGGGGGCTGGGTGGGGAGAGAGATAATGTAAGATGGAACTCAGCTGCAAGTGAAGTCTATCAGGGCTTACAAGAAATTGTCATTAGTGTTTAATTTCTACAGGATAACTTGCATTTTAAACACTAGTTTATATAACCAAGTAAGAGTTTTGTAAACCTCTTAGTTTACATTGCTAAATAGTAATTTTTCCCAGATGTTCAATTTTTTTGTAGCACCTTGAAACTTCTGAGTTTGTGTTCAACTGTTGAGAAACATATCTAATAAGTTTCAGAGACTCTATTCTGCTATCCCATGATGAAATCTCATATCAGACATATTTTTAAATGTGTTTTTAGTCTCCATATAGTTACTTTAATAATTGCTGGATGAGTAATGCTTTCACTACTTTAATTGTCCTCTTCAATTTTGAATGTTTCTGAAAATTATTTTGCATCTAATAGCCTTGACAAAAACTTGTGCAACCTCTTCATTTTTTTGATGAAGTACCTATTCCGCATTTACAGATACTGCTTTGTTAGATTATGTGAAGAGGAGATATGGGGATCATCTCTGTCAAAAGTATTAAAGAATGATTCCCAGAGACACATTAAGAAAAGAATAGCAGACTCCAATATTGATTTTACAAGTTTCTTTAATAGTAATTCATGATGACTACAAGTAGCATTAGTATTTCAAAAGCTGCGTTTTTCCTGTTTCCTGTCTTGTATTCTGAATGCAGTCCAAATTCCAAAATTTGTGTGTGTGTATTGCTGTTGTGGCATGTTTTTTGATAGATCAAAACCAGACTCTCCAGCAACTGTGTGGTATCAGTATTGTGGAGCAGTGACACTCAGCCAAGATATCCACATCATCCAATAACAATCATATGCCAAGAGCTGAGTCTGAGAAGGAGATGCCAGAAGGTGGAAAATAACTATAATGTCTTTCAGATGAAGGGAAGAGAGGCAGCTTTACTGGAGTAACATGACCAGATTATTATGCAAACCCAATCTTTAATGCATTCTTTTAATCCCCCTTTCTGGAATCTAGAAATAGAGGGCTTAAGTATTAGAGTACAGAATAGATACACAAATAGGCTTTTATTCCAGTCTCCTAAAAAGTACGGATGAAACCTGATGTTTTCGAAACTGAAATAACAGGGGAGCAATAAGATCAGAAATTTTCTGATTTTTTTTTTTCCCCTAGCTCAAGTATGATCCTTAGTTGTCTTTTCTGCAGTATCCTGTGGATATTTCTGCGCTATATTGGGTGTTCAGTAGACGTTTGTGTAAGGTTTATAACATTAAGCTGTCTCAGGTTTGTGGATGGGGAGATGATTTCTTATAGAAAAGACTGTCCCTCCAAAGGCCACTCAAAAGTTTCAGATGTCATGTAGTTGATGGGACATAAAGAAAGTTTGATGCATCTGAGTTATCAGCATCTGGCTGAAGTTTACTCACTTCCTAAAAGAAATCAGGAAAAAATTTTGTGTTCTTTGCCAACTACAATTCTGCACCATCTTGACTGAGTTCAGTATGGAAAACTGACTCAAATAAACACACTATTTGCCTAATGCTTTGCTTTTTACCTTTAAAGATAGAAGGTTCATTAGATTAAATGAATTCAGCTTCTGTAATGCTTCTTGTTTTTTCTTGACTGTATAATGTAAGTATGTATGGTTTAAGAAAGAGCAGGCTAACAGTAGAATAGATACTCATGCATATATTCCTTTTCTGTCTGAATAGGTCTTTTAATGATCACATCTGATTCAGCGTAAAATGCAGTAAAAGATTAAATGACTGAATGAAAGTATTAGAGGGTACTTTCAGAATGGTGATTATTTTTTCAGTAGAGTTCCTTCTTAAATTAACACTGACTTTTTTGCCTAAAATACTTATTAGTTCAATTTGGACCAAAAACAGATGACAAATGATTGTTTAAGAACTGGATTTAATATCCATCACCATTTTCTCATTCATGACCTAAATGAGAATTGGTACGAACTGAAACTACTTTGTATAAAACTTCCACTGCAGAGTAAGCCAGCATAAGTTCCATCTACCTTTCTTCGCAGTGTAGGAAATAAATATCTGCTTTGGTATATGTGTGTTAGTGACTAAAGCACTGTCCTGCAGTGGCAACAGCTCCAAGGGAGCTTTATTCCTCTGTGCACTTCATCTCCTCCAATTTTTTTCTCCCTGTCACAGCTCACGTGTGCTTTGTTGGTTTGTCAGCAAAATTAGGATCTTTTTAACTCTTCTTGGCTATGCATACACACAGTAATAGAAGTATTGTGAAGCTACTTACTTCAGCTCTTTCTACACCTGGGATTCTGAGGTTCATTGAGATTTAGGCAGAGAGGTTTTCTGGTATTGTGAATTATGAAAACATAGAAGTGACTCAAAAATCCAGGAGATGAAAAGTTAAGCAAAATAGTAACAATTCTTTGTCTATTCTAGTTCTGAGCTGCAAAGGCTGTGTGTTTAAAAACATGTTTTTAAAAAAAATACATGCATACAGTTTTAAAAAATATAAACCCTGCAGTCATCTGGGCTGGAAACTTTTATTGCAAAATAAGGAATGCTGGAGTTTTCACATAACTGTCTTGGAGTGGTGAACATGAGAAAAAACACAATTGGCTTGTTCTGAAGAGTGAGAGCTGACAACGTTGATGGCCTTGAATGCTCATATAATGTTGGGTTATAAACAAACCTAACTAGCGTAAGTGTTGTGTTATGTTTCTGAAGGCTCAACCATCCCTGTTGGATTTCTGCATGTGTTGTCTTAGCACCATTAAAGCACTCTGACACCAAAATTGTGGTAAGGACTTGACACCACATGTCGCAGTGCTTCTTGGTCTATTCAGTTACAATATGTAGACTGCTTATAAAAATAAAAGCATTCTCTGTTGTATGTGCAAGCCTTTGTAAAGGAAAGAGAAGATATGCCAAAAAAACTTTGGTTTATTCTTATTTTGGGAAAAAATGTTAACTGCTGCATATTAATATGTTATGGGGAGTATTTTGAACTTGTGGGACATACCTGTTTTGCATCATCATTGATATGGATTAAACATCTGGGTATTATGCTGATAAACATAGTTTTTCTAAATACCTTGTTCGGTGCCAAGTATGACAATGCTGTAAAATTATTAGAGTGAATAACTTCAATATTTTGTATGTTTATAGCTTTGTTTTTAGTTTTTCCCAGTTTTGTGTTTCGGTGACTGGGTTAGGTAGGTTGGCTTCAAGCTGCTGTTTTATTTGATTATGAGTGGTAGTGACATTGCAATTATACATAGTTTTACAAATCTGTTTATCAATGGGCCTTTCTGTGATAGGATCTTTCAGCCTTAGACAAATCAGTTCAGGACTTTTGGTTGGCATTCTGTCATCCCCGAGTACTTTAAAGTCATCTCAGTAAAAATAGCATATGATCAAGTCTTGATGGACTCTCGAGACTTTCTTCTCTCAAATAAAGCTTTTCAGAATATTAATGAAGAAGAATGCATCAAGAGATCAGAACAAGAAATATTGAACTGTCTTAATTTTTTCATGTAATAAATACTCTTAAAGAAGAAGTATCACACTAGAATTTACGTAGTGTTCATGGGGGGGGGGGGAGAAGTGAACTGACAAAACTGTAAATGTTAAGATGTTTTATCAGAACATACTGAGAACAAATTGCCTTTGCTGTTCCTTAGGTCCAGTGTTGGCCCTTCTAACAAGGGAGCTGGATAATCCTGTGAAATCTGATACATTCTGTCAGTGGGGTTAACAGTGTGCAGACAACAATATTATCTGAGCAATAATGTTCTAGTATTTGCATCTGCCTAGTACAATCTTTATAGCATTCCGTTTTATTTGTTAGTGTTTAAGTGCCTAGAAAACCCAATTAAGGTAGTAAGAACAGTGTGATACCTGATACTATGTATATTTTTATTTTGTGTGTCTCTCTTCGGGCTTTTCAAATGATAGTGATTTGTATTTTCTTGGGTAAAATGTCAGCATTGCAGATATATACCAGCTCCATTTGAGGCAAATGTATGTGCAATATGGCTTTACGGTGGAAATATAATGTCCATTTGCTTTGTTAGGAAATCAACTCTGTATTTGGGCTGGTCTAAGTTGTATTTGACTACCTGTGGTTCTAAAGGGCTGTCTTTTACATTTGGCCTGATGCCCTGGAAATGTTATTGCTTTTGAGAACCTGAACAGTTGTACGTCTGCAACCGTTTTAGAGACTGTAGGAGGAGCCCTTCATTAGGTTGTTAACATGACTGCCATGCCTTTATCTGCCAAAGCATCAAAGAGGTATTTTGACTGTGATACAGATATCTTTTTGTTTTAAAAGGAACATCTAGAATAGATCGGCCTTATCCAATCTAATTAGATTATATTTATATTATATTAAATTATATTTTTCTTTCTGTAAGATTTCTGATAAGATGTTCTTTAAAACAGTGATTTACATACCACATAAGTGCTATCACTTTCTTGGTGGACAGTCTTGTTATTTGGCACCAGTTATGTTAAAATAGACAGAGGTGGAAGTTAGTGGAAAGTGAATGCTATCTTTTTCAAAAAGAAATAATGCGGCACTGTTGTTGTTGGGTTTTGGTCTCTTTTTGTTCCCTTAGCTTCTGAATTTACAAGCTTGTGTTTTAAAAATTAACACTGCTAGATACAGGGTATCGATACCTCAAAGTACATCTGCTCAATGTGTCCAGTAAAATTTTCAGGCTCTGTTCACAAACGTTAGGCATCCACATTTGTTTTTAGTAGGTAATGTATCTTTGTTCTTGGAGGTACTCAGTAGTCTGTAACTTGCTTACGTTGATTTCTGAATGCTAACTTTAGATGTATGGGATTTTGGGGCATAAGTTAATATTTTTCACCTTATAATAGCAACTGTAATTAATTTCAGTCATAAGTAATCTTATTAATAGTAGGAATAAAATGGGATATATTTTCTTGATGAAATGTCATTAATATGCCTGAAATTTTCACATCTACCATTTTTAGTCATATTAGTCTAGACAGTGCAATATATAACTTAATGTTCTCATTGCCTTAAATTTAGGTGGAAGAAGGAAGCAAAAATGTACGCTTGGGCTCACTAATCGGTCTGCTGGTAGAGGAAGGACAGGACTGGAAGCAAGTTGAAATACCAGCTGATGGTAGTGATCCATCTTCTTTGGCTCCACCAGCACCTGCTCTTACCTCAGTTCCTGCAGATCCTTCAGTTTCAGCCCCTCCTAAACTGGAACATCAACCTGGAAAATTACAGTAAGTTTCTATGTTTGTTATGAAACAGAACTCTTCTTTAGTTAGACCAGTAGAGCTGAAACAAGAAGAATCTTTTGTCCCTTTTTACCTAGTATTAAGCTGTTAGCTTAATGTTTCAGTATGCGTGAGGTAATAAAGCTTGCCTGTCCAGAATATTTCTTTGCTTGTAAGCCCAATAAGTCAATTCGAACAACATAGTTTTATTAGAACACCTTCTATGGATGTGCTTTTATTCTGACATACAATTGCTTTATGAAGGATTCTAAGCTTCAGTTAGGAAGAAGTTGTGTTTACATACGATGGACACTAATGCTTATGCATCAGATGCTCAGTTTACCTGTAACTTGTTTTTGTTTTCCTTTTTAGGAGAATAAATAAACCCAACAAATGGCACAGTCCAAAACCCTTCCAAGCTCTTGCACTTTTGATATTAGAAAAAATTTCTTCTTACTTTCATAACAGTGGAATGCAAAAAACTCAGAACTGTGGATTTACATGCTCTTTGTTAGTTTTATTTTGTTTTGATCTGTTAGGGTACTTAAAGCATTGCAAACATCTTAGAGGGGGAGTAAATTAACCCCAAAGTGTTAGTCAGGTAACAGTAATCTATAAATCACTGGTTTGTGTCGCAGGATGTACCTTATTTGGTGGTATCACTCCTTATTTGGAATGAATTGTGATAACACAAAAGCTGTAAAATTACAGCCTATTAAAGAAAGGAATAGGAAACTATTTTGATGGCATGTGCTATGCAGACTGTTTTGTTTTGGGGTTTTTTTGGTTTTCTGGTTTGGTGGGGGTTTTTTGGTGGGGTTTTTTTCTAGTTTGCTATGTTTACTTTCGCTGTCACCATTTAGGCTCTCTCCATGCAAGTAGCAGACAACTAATTGAGGTCATTGTCCAAACATTACATGTAGTAGGAGGATGATCCAAGGAAAGGATCCTTGAAAGGATTAAGTCTTGTATTTTAGTACCAAAGAACATCAGAAGTGCATGTTTCACTGAAACTGTTAGAGATATATCAGCATCTTTGGAATCAAGTGATCGTTTATGACATGATTTTTTTTTTTTTTTTGGCAAGGGCTTATGGACAGTTCTTAAAACTCAGTGTGGTGCATATATAGTCTCCTTTAGGAAATAATGAATTGGAGATTTTGTGGAAAGACTTGACACCAAGTATTTATTCTTTTATGAAAATGTTGCTGCTTTTGTATCTAAGAATTCTGTAATCTCTTCTCTACACGTTGTTTTTTTCCTCATTTCAGAAAGCAAATCATGCTAAGGTGCACTGGGTGCTCTGTAGCTATGTACTGTGCTTTGTAGTTGATCACTGTTTCTGTTTCCAGGCAGAAATGTTACTATTGAGCATACCCCATCTAGGTCAAGATGGCAGGTACAGGTTTACTAGTATTATAGTATATCTTAGGTATATGCTGATTAAACTGTTTGAGTGTGGGAGAGCTTAATATTTAGTCTTCTAAAGCAGATATTGACTTATGCAACTACATCTCTATGGCTTTTGCTTTCTGAAAAAGTAGCCATTTCATTAAATCAATCCTTGAAGCTAGGGCAAAGGTGATGTTATAATTAGAATTGAGCTGCACTAATGATGCAATTATAGCTAGCCAAACAAATAATAGAGATGAGCAACTCCCTTGTCTGAGCTCCTAAAACTTTTTTTTTTAATGTTACTATAACAAGCTGGTCGTAAAAAATGTATTTGGTTCTTCACTGATGATCCTTTTCCAGAAGAATCCACAAGTATATTGTATTGCTGCTGTAAGAGGAAAGTTTGGAGATGAGTTTTCCACTCTTTATTTTGATCTCTAAGGTCATTATTGAGGTTTTTAAATTCAACCTTGCATTACAGCTTGGTGAAGGGGCACAATCTGACTTCAGTGCTAGGATCACAGCCTTTGCATAGAACTCTGTTTTCTTCCCTGGCTGTTGCTTCTGAAATAGAGCATATATTGTGTAGTTTCTCTTGATATACATTAAATGAAATAAGTTAAATCTTGTTGTTTAAATAGCTTATTTTTCTCCATTTCTTTAGGGTTCGCTTAAGTCCTGCAGCTCGCAACATTCTGGAGACACATGGACTAGATCCAAGCAATATTACACCTTCTGGGCCTCGAGGAATCTTCACTAAAGAGTATGTAGATATTTCAGTAAAGCTACAACCTCATATTCCCTTATTTCTTCCTTTGAACCTAGAACAATCTCCATGAACTTGAAAAGTCCATTTATTTAAAAAGCCAACTTTTAGTTCCATTTTTTTTCTGTGGGGGAATGGCTTAGTTAAAAAACCTGTTGAGAAGGTATGGCAAATAGATTAGGCAATATTGTAAGAAGCCTTTAATTAAAAAAAAAAAAAAAACAAACAGCTTTTTGTTTTTATATCCCATCTGAGCTGCGTGGTACTGCTGTCACATTTCGTGCAGCTCAGCCTAATGGTGGCTATCAACTCCTAGGCACCGCTGTTAGCTGTCGTTGTGGATCTCAATAATTTTGCTATTCAGAGATGTATTCAGAGCCAAAATAAAATACCAGTGGCCTGTTTTCATCAACTCCTTTTCTTTGGAGAGTTCAGATCTTTTGCTGCTTTCACTGAAGTTCAGTTATGAAGTCTGTCAGGATTTAATTTGTTCCCTTTTTTATTAGGCTGGGGAGAGCAATGAAGTGTAACGGTAAGAAATCCAGAGTTCCGTTTTTCTCCCATCTTTTTTTCCCCATCTTTGATTTAAAGAATGTTTCTTTACAAACCCGTGGTTTGTTATGATCAGACTTCTAGTAGTTTACTATACTTTTTGAGTATTCTGATGTAATGATCAGCACTCAAGCCTTGGAGTGAGGAACTTGTGTATAAAAACATGTTGTGGTAGATCCAGAGCCCCTAGCCTTGAAATGGTGCGTTATCTTCACATTAGAATGTATGTTATTGGAGATGAGGATTTTGGCAGGAATACTTACTCTTGTTCTCAGTAAAATTATTCCTTTTAACAAATGCCATCATTCATCTACACAGACCTTGTTAGCTGCTGTAATTTTGGTTCCATTCAAAGACAACCAGGTCAGTGTAACTGGGAATTGAACCCGGAGAAGCACACAGTGCTGTTTTTTCAAAACTTTTTCCTATGGTCTTTGGCTGAGTTGAGATAAAATAAGGAGTTGAATAGATATAATATCCTATGTAACAGTAAATTATCAGAGATAGTTTTTTCTTAATTATGTAAGTGTAATGGTAATTTATGGTGTGTTACTAGGCTATGGCAGGTGGAAACCCTCTAGGACTTTGAGCCACCTAATTAACATTCCCAAGTTGTCATGGAGATGTAGCGAAGATTTTTCTGTAGCTATGGGAATTATCTAACAAAATCTTCTTTTTTCAAAACTTTCTTCCATACAAAAGATTCAACTTTGAAATGACGTTTCAAGATACAGACTGGGTGTTTTTTAACCATTCTTTTGAAATGTTGTTAATCTTTCAGATGCCTACAGGCTCTGCTATTATGTTCAGTTTGAAATGAAATGTTTGCAGATTTTTGTAGAGAGCTGCTACAGATATTCAGGGAAATATTTCTTTTGCTAACTTATTACTGTTAAAATACATGCCATGCTTTATAGTTGAGTGACTCATGGTCTCTTTTCCAAGTAGACTAAGCAATTGATTCTTTGAGGGAGTGTTGCAAGTTCACTTTTCACTTTTAAACTCTGAGTTTCCTTATTGAACAGGGCTCATGCTCACCAGATTACAAGAAACAAAGAAAGATAGTGAGTTACGTAAGCAAGCAAGATTCTTTCCCCCCAACTTTCTATCTTTAAATTCAATTCACTATAAAACTTTTAACAGCAATAGGAGCTTTCATTTAATAGCTTTCTCTGTCATAATTACTCCCTTAGTAGGCTGATACTTCATTTGTCTTATGTATCTGTGCAAGGCTGAATTGTTGTCTTCCTGCTTGTTTTTGTTTTATGGAGTGGCAGCTTTTTTTGATTTTTTTCAAGTAATATACTCTGCTTTCTTCAGAAACATACTAGAAAATTGATGTGTCAGTACAAGGTAACGCACAACTTCCATCAAAAATTGCACCGTGTTTCCTAGTCATCAGCTCAGACACTGTGTTTGGGAGAGCGATGTTAAAATTGTTTATTGTTTCAGACTACTTCTGCCCTTTCTCATCCTATTTACTAGTGATCTAGGGATTTATAAATGCAACCATAAAAAGGGGGGGGGGGGAGCTAGTTACCAATAATAACTGTGTTTTTCCGAGGCCATATTCCTCCCATCTGTACGTTCCTACCAGCTGTCACTAAGTTAGTGCGATTCGGGATCTCAGAGCTGCTCAGGCGTTTGCATTTTCAGCTTGCAAATAAGGCACAGAGCACACATGTAGTGCTGGTTTTCCAGAGAGTCCTTTCATGTTGTATGTATTGAGTGCAGACTTACAGTGGGATCTGTGCTGTGTGCAATTTGTCAGCTGCCTCTATGGAGGAATGAGTTCCTTCTATAATGTTCATAGTGCAGTAAGTCTGATACCTGGAAGTTTCTGATGTGTAACATTCTCTGCTCACCTCTTTCCTTATTCCAGGAAATCTTTTATGAATTGAGTAATGGGATGTTCAGATGAAAGGGGATTGGTACAGTTTAGTAACAATAACTGCCACCAGAGGAAGCTAGTGTCAATCTGTGCATGTCCTGTTGCACTACTGGATCCTTAGTGATTTTTAGGTGTGTGTATAACCTCTAACTTGTCCATTTTAAACTAAGTATATTTTGAGCACAAAATACTCAGTTTACTTTTGCCATTCTTTGGATTTTGGCTAATGTGAAGTGGAAAGACTACACATTTCTGTAGTAGTGGTAAACTGAAATGTAACAGTTGCCAGTATCTGCATACTTCTAGTAACAATGGTTTGGTAAGCCATGTATTTATTTAATAAATGTTTACCAAGCTCTGGTATCTTTTCTGGGGAGTGGACTGCTCCCTTTCATATTTGTTACATCTCTCTCTCATCTTTCTCCATTACTATCCTGTGTTGATAGAGGTTTTATAGAGTAAGTTGGAAAGACGTGTCCTAGCCTTCCTTTTCCAGTTCTAATAAAATATCTATTTGCCTGACTTGTACTGAAATCTGTTTAACTTGATTTGCTTTGGTGCCTCCTGCAACTCTGCTTATATGCAGGCTCGCAATCTTGTACCTATGACAGTCATAACATTGCTGTACCTATTTTTCTTAACCAGTTAAATCATGTGGAATTTGGGGGGGGATTATTTTTATAGGTATGTATAACAAATATTTATATAATGCATGAAATACAATTTTATATATTTATATGATTTTTGTATAATGTATATTTTATATATATTTATATCTCATTCTCACACATGAGTTTCAAAAACTCCTGAGTGAATGTTCTAATCTAAAAAACCTCAATTTTGGCAATACATTTTTCAGTTAACGCACTAAAAGCCACCAAAATTATTAAAGCATCTTGACTTGGCTGTGACAGGTAGGACCATCTGTTTTTTGTAATTTGCATAATATATGGAAGTAATTTTAAAGCATTTCTTATAGCTCCTTATATATTTTAAAGCTAAAAAGTGTTATTTTATGTATTATGGAATATAATGAGCAGATGGTCTGTCTTACGTCTGCGAAGTTAAAACCCTTAAGTAATTTTTGGTAGCTTCTAATATGTTAACTAGGAAAGTTGCATTATGTCATGCAGTTACTTTTTTTTGTCTCAAATTGTAATGCTAGGGGATGATTTTCATTCAATGAAATCTAATTTTTTTGCCGATATAGTAGTTATGTTACATACTAAACACTTATTTTTAAAACAAAGTTTGGCTAACGTTAATTTGGGAAAACAAGTAACAACTTCAATAATGACAAATTTACATCCTGAGCTCAGTCACTTTTTTTAATTTTTAATATCATTTGCTGAAGTAGGTATTGAAGCTAAAAATAAATAGAAGCAAGTCAGCAATCAGTAAAAGGCATTGTATAGAACATACAGAGCTTTTCAGTTTTCAGTTCTTAGTTCTGGAGTGCTACTTTCTTAGGAAGAACTAAGAATGCGTAATGTAGTTCTGAAATTTTGTGCTTTCTACAAAATTTTAACAACACAAACTATTGACTCTCACTCAAGAATAGACTCTCACTCAAGCAGTAATCCGATGACATTAGGTATCTTTGTTGCTTAGTATTTATGGCTTATGTTTCGAAGCCATGGTATGGTTGTAAGTAGTCAGATTTTTATGTTTATTTTTCATTTCCTCTGCGAGTTTATGTAATAAAACTTAGTGTACATAAACCTTTGTGTACATGCTGTGGTGGTGTCTTCGTGAAGTGATAGAGATTTATCTAGGGTATACGATCCAGACTTTTGTTATCAGATCTGGAGCGTAAAGAGAGGAGATCTACGACTTGTACAGCTCTTCTGACAAGTCGCTAGTATAGGTGCAGTTACAACCTGAAAACAGAAATTTTACGATAGCTTATTTTCCTTGCGATTGGCAGTGGTGGTGTAAATGCAGTCTTTTCTGTTTAGCCTCATAGGTGCTAATCTTTAGCATGTTGCTTTATAAATACAATGCACCTAGGGTACATGTAGTATTACAGCTTAAAGATGAGAGTTTACTTATGTCTGTCATACTGTGACAACAAGAGGGAAGTTTTGTGGTGATAGCTATATCAGTATAAAGACCCTGGGAGAATGCTTATAGAGTAGATGAGGTTCAACCACACCTGGGACTGTTAGATGTTACTCAGTTTTTGGCAGTGATTCTTTAGTGTGGTGCTATCTTTCAAATTGCTTATGAAGTGTGGACTTGTATACTTTCTACACCTGTTTGTGCATATTTGTCAGAAAGGTACAGAGAAATGAATGATAAATGTACTACTCAATTTTCTGTGAGCACTAATTACATTAAATTCAGATTATTACAGATATATGAAACAGCTTTTATTTGAGACTTTATAGGCTGAGTGTACTCTGATATCTTATTTAGAAGAATTGTTAGTGCAAATCACAAATTACCTCGTACACTCACAATTAGTCATGATGAATGTTATGCTTCTCTAACACAAATGTTTTCTTTTACTGTTCAGGCCCTTTTATTCACAGAAGTTAATGAGAATTTACTAAAAAGATATCACAAGGGAGACACAAAATTCATATCAGTTAATAATCACTTTGGTTTGACAACAGAAACTTAAATGCACAGAAGTGCGTAATTAATTAAAATAAGTGATGGAATAGTAATACTTTGGGAATTTTTGAAATAGTTTCTTTGTTGTCAATATTTCACTGTGTTTAATCACCAGGGATGCTCTCAAACTTCTGCAAGAGAAGCAGAAGGGTAAACCGGGTGAATTGAAACCTTTGGTTTCTCCAGCTCCTCCCCAGCCTACTGCAGTGCCTTCTGCTTCGCAAGCAACAGCTGTGACTTCTGCTTATCCAAGGCCAGCAGTTCCACCAGTTTCCACACCAGGACAACCTGCTGCACTGGTAACGTTTCTGTTAAGTCCTCAACATTGCTATAGCTGTTGCCATGGCTACTTAAGTAGCTATATGAGATTTCCAGAACTGGAGAGACAAAGGAAACTTAAGGCCACCCAGATGCCAACCCCAGTCATGTGCAGTTTTTAGTATGTTTGAGTGATTCTAAAGCAGTGTAATTCAAACTGCAGAGCTCTCGAAATTATGATCTGCACACTACTTTGTGTAACTTGCAAATTGAAGCCATGAAAAAATTTACATTGTAGGCCTTGGAAAGGAGAAAGTCAGAGAGACAGCAGTTTTATTTCAGTCCCCAAACAAGAAGATGCCACTAGTTTGGAAATCAACAATACAGCCTTTCCCTCAATCCTTGCAGGATCAGTATGTCAGTGTGTATTTCCAAACTTGGAGAAACTTGAATCCTGATTTATATTTACTGTACTTCATTTATTTGCTTTCCTGCAATATAAGTATATGTAAATGTCCATTGATGAGTTGTCAAGAAGTGAGGAAGGAAAGGGCTTAGTGGTTGCTTTGAAGAGTAATTTTGCAAACTCTAGCACCTAAATACAGTTTCTACTTGAAACGTTAGAAATACCGGAAATTATTTTTTAAAGAATAAATGCCCGTGCTGAAATGCACATTAGTAGAAATTGAAAAGCTTTTGTGAAAAATGGGGGGAAAACCTTTCTGGCTCTAGAACTAAATTCGAAGTATCTTTACAGGCTGAAGTTTACAATGTCGCTACAATTCATAATATTCAGAAAATGCTGCTTTTTTTGCACTCTACAAAGAACAAAACAAAGCACAGAAAGCTCAAACTTAGATATTTTTCCATTATAGAAAAAAAATGTTTCTATGATTGCACCACAACATATATATTGCAATTTGTTGTGTGTTGAGTACTACTCAGTATGTAGTATATGTGCTATAGATTAGGTATACAAAATAATGTTTTACAGAATCACTTATTTTCTTGCTTTCTGTAGTCACTGATATTTCAAGGGATTCTTTGAAAGTTGACTTGCTTCTATGAAGAAGTTGAGAAAACTCCTGCATTGAAACATTACTGAATATATCTGCAAGGAGAGAGAAGAATAAGAAAAAAGATGTGCATTAAAGCCTGTCTTAAGAAACCACTCAGGGAACTGAAAAAGCAGTAGCTTACTGAGGAAATGTTCCATTTAAATTATAATAGAATAAAGCATATTCTGAGCAATATGCCAGGTCTGGCAGATGGAACAGTGCTTATATACTCTGGCTGAGAATTAATGCCTGAATATTTGGAAATTTTTTTTTGAAGCAGTCTGCTAGAATAGTAGGATTAATTCTATACTGTAAAGTGAAACTATCTTTATTCTATAAAACCTGTTGTGTTGATCCAAGTTAAGTGGAATAGACTAGAACACTCAATTGTTTTAATCATATTAATTTCAGTAGTTGGAAAGTGTCGCTTTTTTATATCATGGAGATATTTGAAGTGAGCAGGAGTCACTGATGATAATGCACCAATGCTGGAGTCCTGTTTCAGCAAAGGGGAAATGTGTTTGCTCTCTTGATACTTAATATGCAGCATATGATTTCTTTCAGGGCACATTTACAGAAATCCCAGCTAGCAACATCCGAAGAATTATTGCTAAGAGATTAACAGAGTCTAAAACTGCTATACCTCATGCATATGCTGCTGCTGACTGTGACATTGATGCTATTTTGAAATTAAGAAAAGAATTGGCCAAAGGTTAGTGATTAAACTGATTTACTATAACATGTGGTACTAATGCATAGTTTGTCTTGTTTATATAATCTTGCCCAGGAGGTGTAGATTTTTTGTACAGGCAGAACACTATGCATTCAAATAATCTTTTTCGGTATCCTGTATGTTGGACTCAAGCTGTAGTTCCCTGTGATTATTGAATTGGACAACTTACCAAGACAGACCAAGACCGACCTTCCTTACCGTAGGAAGACAGAGTTGTTACTTTGCCAACTAACACAACACTCCGTAGGCAACTGCAGTCTAACATAAGACTATGCATTGTCCAGTAGGCTTTTGTTTCCTTCCATCCAGATGCAGCAATATTTAGCTTCTTGATGGTGAAAATCTCAAATGAATTCATGGGAAAGATAATAGGGGAAGCTTCAAATTAAAATACACTCATGCTCTGTCTTTCTGCGTACAATATTAAAATTTAGTTTTGCTGGCCTCTGTTGAATTTACTGGAAAAGGAAAGCTAATGCAGCCTCTCAAATTCTGGATGAGAATGGCTTTATCCATGGTGAGGAAAGAAAGTGAGTTTTTAGCACATGCCAGACAATGCATGGTAAACTCCTCTTGAAGGCAAAGTAATGGTATTAATGTGAAGGAGGCAGGGTTATCTCTCTCACTGAAATTTATATATGTGCTTAAAGCTATGTTAAGCTGTTGGAATAGGAATCTGTCCCACAAAAAACTGGATAACTTTAAAATACACATTGAGAATTGGATTAAAAGCTATAAATCTCAATATATATGTGTGTAAATCCCCATTTTCATAATGTGTTCACTGTTCCTGAGTTATACAGAAATGTTTATAAGATTAAGAAACTAAATTTTCCCTTTTTGTCTCAACTTTTATTCACTGAAGTGACTTATTTAGAAAAAGTTCATGAAGTTTAGGGTCATAATCAAAGATTGCTTTGTTCTTGCTAAAACTGTTTTTCTTTTTGCTAAAATCAGCTGAGTGTACTGTCCAATAAGATGTTTTAATAGTTTCAAAATTAACTATGCAGACTATAATCTTCTTTCCCAAATCTCAGTTTGACAAAGTGTATGTGACATGCATTTAAAAAATTGAGGCTTTTTCAATAGAACGCTCTTCAGGCAGGTACTTCATTTTCATGCGTCATATCATAAAAGTGTTGTTTGCTTAGTGTCTTTTTGCTTAAGGACTTCTACTTAGTTGGGTAAAAAACCTGAATGAAAATTTTTATTACTTTAACATCATAATCTTCTTAATTTAAATAAATTACATTATATTTAGAAATATTTGGTCAATATACTGATTTTAATGTTGTCTACAGGAAGTGGCCCCAATTTCATAGTTTGTGAAGGTATTAAACCAAAACCTGTGGAAACTCTTTAGGAAAGCATTGTTTTATATTAGGTCAGTTCTTGCAATTGCCTGCAGTTACTAGCATTTTACCTTTTTTTTTTTTTTATTTGGTGGCTGGTTTAATATTCTGTAAAGAGGACACCAAAACAGTGCAATCTGTTTATAAATACCAGTGTCAGAAATATGGAAACTAATGTTTTCATAAAGCTTTGACATCTGTAAGTTAGTTTGATCAAGCCAGATTTACAGCTGAGTAGGTTAGACTTGTATCTAGGGCATCTTGTTCTTCAGTAACTCACCTTAAGTTAGAGGATTTTCTAAAAATTCTATCTTTCGACTCAGAGATAGTGAAGCCTGAGGAAAAAATTATTTTGAAATGTAATGTTTCTTTTTTCCATCACACAAGGCTATTTTCCATTAAATACACATCTTGAACAAGAATTTAAATGACTGTAATGAAATAAGATCAGAGAGAGAATTGTTGAGCAGTTGCACAATAAGACTGTATTTTTCTCAGCAAGGTCTGTCACCAGTCTGGTAAGCTGTGGAAAAAATTAATGAATGAATTCACTGTCCTTTTTCAGTTACATCTTGCATCTTCACTTATCTTCTAAGCTGCTTGCAGAGGTTATAGATTTTTTGGAGATATTTTTCTTCACAGAAAAGCTGGATTAAACAGTTGAAAACCTGTGCTGCGTGTTTCTGCCTCTAATATCTTCAGTCCCTCTGATGTCAAAACTTGAGTTATTTTAAGCTGTCCCAATACACTGATAAAATTTTGGCATCAGACCTGTAAAAGTTACACAAGCACAGTTGAGGTGATGTTGCAAAGTAGGAAGCAGTAGCTGAGGGGAAGGGAGACAGGCCTGGTTGGGGGCAATGCCTGCCTTCAATTTCCTGCTTGTCCGTGGACTTCTAACTAATTCTAATACATTGAGAAATGAGGTTTGGCTGCAGCTATCCAGGAAGAGTAGCCTTCTCAGGAAATCTATCTGGTTTTAAGGCAGAACTTGATAAATTAGTCAAGATCATGTGGTATGATTGACTGCAATATCTGTAAGTGATTCTTCTAGTCTTCAGTTTCTATAAAATGTGGAATATTCTTTGTGAAGAATAATATTTATTTCTAGTGCCTAAGGTTAGCAATATCGTTTATTGAATTGACAGTATCTTATCTCTGTCTAAAATGACATGACATCTGTTGTGTTTTATCTGCTGGAAATCAGTTGATGTCTACTTTATCAGTTGCAGCCAAACTAATTAGGCATAGCTCTTTAAATTAATGTTAATTCTTTTAGAGGAGAGATCCCTTTTCAAATCAAATTGGGAAAATACTGATTACTTTTGGTAAGTTTAGCTAATTATGCTGGTGAAAGAATCATTTATTTGTTTACAAAACTTGACTTTTCAATACCTACAAAATTTGGATACTATTCCAGGCATGTAGATTAATCTCTGCCACTTTATAAATTTAATTTTCATCATTCATTCCACTTTATGAAATCTCATTTTCCACACTGTTAAGGCTGCATAAGCAAGTAGTGAAGTTCTGTTTGCTGAAGGAGACATGCACACGTACACCTTATAGCCTGGTACTAAGTTTGTCACTTGGGTAAAAAATTCTGAAGACCTGTTATTTTATGATGAGGAGAAACAGGTTGGGTTTTTTTTGGTCCTTCTAAACTTTGGTCTTTAAAAATAAAAGTATGTTTCTAAAGACATTCATGGGAGAATACAGCTGTCTACACAAGAGAAAGGAACATAAACAATCTTACATGGATTCTTTTGGTGTTGTTCAATTAGTCCTTTTTTCTGGTACCATTTAAATCATTTGTTCTCGATAGTTCAGCTTTTAGATGTGTATCCTCATTATTACACCAAGTAGTAGAAATAGAATTAATAGCGTATGCTGTTTTAGACGTTACCACAATAATGAAAAGTGAATATTTATAGGTCTAAGGCAGTGACATGTGACACTTCAAGTTTTGTTCTGCAGCTGCATCGTTGCTATCGTGGTTTGAAAGCTTATAGGTTCAGGTTCAAATGATAGTTTTCTGAAGCTATGTGAACTCTGCATTCAGTATAGCATAGCAGGATAGTTTTAATTTATGTTTTTCTTGCTGTACTGATTGAGAAACAGTGCTTTCTGCTCCTTTATTGAAGCATTTAGAGAAGAGCGTGAAAGCTGGGGTCACCTATTGCTGACCTTTCTGTGACTAACCTGCACAAATTAGGTCTAGTTCTGAGAAATGCTGCATGTTCGAAGGTTTAACTGAAGCTTGTGAAACCTAGAGACTTTTACTCACAGAATCGGGCCACAAATATCTTTACACTTGTACAAGCCAGTTAGAGGGTTTTTAGAGCCAGTTTTGGCACTAGCCAAAAAAACTGACCTCAAATCACAAGGATTGTTAGGGTGTAAAAAGAACAACACTGTTAATCATCAATTATTGCACGTTCATTCAACTTGAGTCATAACTTTTTACTGAACAATTTTTTCAGAGGCTGCATGTGATATTAATACTATTAATCTACCATTTAGAATAATGAATTACTTTCAGTGTTTGTCAGTTTTGAGACTTTAGTTATCATCAGTCAGTTACTACTTTCAAAGCAAAATATAGTAATGACTTAAAGTCATGTAAGAGTAAGAAGACCTTTTTGTTAAAGTTTTCTAGGTAGTAGGTAGGGCTATGTTTAACAAAACTTTTGAAAGGATGAAGAACCTACTCCAAGCTGACAAGGAAGAGAGCTTTAAAGATTGACAGGCGAGGAAATAAGAGTTGTTACACGTATTGCTGTACATCTGAAGGCTGCATTTCTTGAAAATAAGAATGAGGAGGAAATAAGTCTAAAGGAAGAAAAGATGTCAGCTTGGAGGGCTTTAGTTAGTAGTTAGTAGTTCTGGAGCTGGGAGAGTGAATTTGATGGGTCCCACAATCAGTTTTTGAGCTCTGTTCTAGAGGGTGGTCCCCCTAAGGTGGTGGTTTTGTCAAATTGCTGTAGCTAAGCAATGTCTTAGAGAAACCTTAAATGACAGCCTGGAAATAAAGTGTATCGTGTATATTTAATTTTTTTTATGTTAAGTTTATTCTTTTATACATAATTGGAAACACAGTATTTTAATCATGATTTGTCAAAATAAAGCTTGTTTTTCAATTGGAGCTTTACTGGTAATTGAAATGAATTAAAGTGAATCTGAAAGAAAATGTGTTAGTTTCACAGAAATGATGAGTCCAAATAGTGTTTCAGGTGATCTTCTGGGGTATCTGCAACTTGAAATGCATTTGAACATCCTAGAGGTAGAAGATTCAGTTTGGACTGATGTCAAATAAGAGAAGAAAGGGAGAGGGTGGTTTTTTTTCTAGCTAGCAATGAGCAGTAATAAAACAGTTTATGGTTTTTGTGAATAGATATCCTGATGTCACATCCCTTTTCAGTTCTTGAAAGAAAAAACTGGGTACCGAACTTTGGTAAATGGATAGGTGTGAATCTTTCATTGATAAGGCACTTGTACAAATGCACAGGGAGGTAAGAGCTGATATTTCTTGGTATCCCAGGGAGATATAGACTTTTGTGTGCCCCTTTATTCTTAGGTGCAGAGTACTCATTGCACAATGTGCATTAAATAACTTTTCTGTAATAAATAACTTGGTAGAGAGCAAAATATGGTTTTCTATCACTCAGGAGACAACTGTCAGTTTTAAGTCAATGAAATACAGACTCCAAAGTCACATAAATACTTCTGACCAGTGACACATTGTGAATTGGTAATCTTAAAGTAATATGTTTCTATTACTGTAGCTTTGGGTGATGATCCACAATTAGTTGTTCTTCAGGCAAATTATGACAAAATCTTTCAGTGATTTGACCAAAACGTTCTTGGTGCTGTTCACCTGTCTTTATTTCTTCTTACAAGTTTTTGTTTGTTTGTTGGGGTTTTTCTAGCATGATGAAGGAGCATAGCAGTAGAACAAGAGTTGAAAGATCTCTTTAACCTTTATAGTTTTGGTGGGGAGTTTTTTGTTCTTTGTTTTCCACAGAAATGGTATTGTAGTTGCCCTAGACAGAGTGCCTAGGTCTTCAGAAGCTTTCTTGGTCCTATCTGTAAATGTTTTGTATGACAAGACCGACATAACTCAAATGAGTAATTTTCTTGTCTTCAGGGAAGGGCAGGCACGTTAGCAATCTAGTATTCATTGTATATTATTCCAGATACAGCTATAGGTAGGTGGGGGGTTTTTTGTTGTTGCCTCACACCCCCCCCACCCCGGAATGATACTACAGCTTTTATATGTGGCATCTCTTCCAGCTTAAATCTTTAATAGGGTTGCCCCACATGGGTCATCTAGATGCTAGTGCTCTACAAATTTGATTTACTGAAAGCTTTGCCTCTGGGGCAAGATTAAAAACCAGCTTTGTTGTTATCACAGTGCGACATCAAAAAGTATCTTCAAGGTCCAAGTTAAATTTCTTAACATGAATGGGTTATTGTGTGGATGTGTAGAACAGGGTTTTCAAGGTTAACCTAATGAAGTTAGCCTTGAAATGTTCTGTATACAGAGGCACCAGCTGGGTTTTAGACACAGATAAGTGTTCATGTGGTGATATGCCTGTCTGACAAAGAAGTTGATACTCTTTTCTCTCTCCTTGACCCATGTTTTTGTTGATAAAACAAAAGATCTGCTTGCAACCAGGTATTTCTAGCAATTTAGACTGTTTTGTTTTTCCTGGGGGGAATCCCAATATAAAGATCTCTTGATGCAGCATTATAGCACAAGACACAAGCCCTCCAGGAGTGTTAGTGTACTTCATAGTCATTTGCTGTTCCTGAGGCTTTACCCTGTGAGTAAATTTTCTCTCAGCTTAGTGTCACAGAGCTGTACACCTAGGAACTAGAATGCTGACATTGGAGGGCTACTGTTACGTACTGGTGACTAGCCCATGCTTGTTTCTCCATTTGCGAGGTCCTAAATTAAATTAGACTGGTATATTCAGATTTTCTAGATGATGATACAGGAGCTGATTCTCCTTTCACTGGAGTTTTGAATGACTGCTTCTTAATGCAAGAGTACCCAGGTCATTTTTCTACCTGATTTTTTTAAATGATATCTTATTCACAAGTTAATGTCAAAGACAATTTATGATGTTGATATTTTCTTTAAAGCAAATATAAGGCACCAAAGGTCACTGGACAGTAACATACTTCTGATTTATAGATGAATAAAAGCTCATCTCTGCAATTATTCCATTTATGCATCACACTACATAAAGAATAGTAGTCTCCAGTATTGTCTCTGTATATTTAGATCCTACAATAGATTTCTACATAGACAATAAATATGTAAAACACAAAACACATATGGGCTGCTACTTGTAAGAATGAGTAGTAATACTCGAGTTCGCAGCTTTTTTGACCTTCTAGTAACAGCTAGCAAGAATGTCTCTGCTCAGGAGATGCTTGATGATACTCCTTTTGTCCCAAGGGGGAGAAAAGTTTTCTTGCTTTTATGATTGTAGTTTGAAGATGAGTTACTTTCTGGCAGTGTTTCAAAGAAGTAAATCTGCTGAATCACTGGAATCTTGTCATCACACAAATGCTGATAAACAAATCTTATGAGCAATGATTGTTGTCTTTTTTTTTTCTTTTTGCAGATGACATTAAAGTATCTGTAAATGATTTTATTATCAAGGCAACTGCAGTTACTCTGAAGGTAAGTGGATAATTGACTTGAAAAAAAAAATGTTTTATAGTAAACTACCAAGGAGACAAGAGAAGTATTTTGTGAGCCTATATGGAGATATAAATGCGATCATAGCAAACCTTGTAATTCTTTACCACTTAATGTCAGGTTTATTTTAAGCTCTCCGGGTGAAATTCTCTACACTGTCTATGCTGTGGACTGTAAAAATGAGAACTTCTTGGTAAAGATCCACTTACTACAGTTATCATCTGCAGATAACAGTAGATGCTTCGTCAGCAGACTAAAGCAATTGGCAAGATGAGTCTTCTATTCTTTGTTGTTGCATCTTATTTTCTCTTACAGTTATAAACAAATATTTATCCAAGTCTTATACCAATCTTGTGTATTACCTCAGATGTATTCTGATGGCATATTCAGTGACCTCTGCTTTGAATTAAAAATTTTTCAGGCAACCAATCTTTTTTTATTGTTAAGAATTGTCACTGTTCCCTTTGTCAATGTAAAAGTTAAACAATTGCAATACATCCTGAAGTTAGATCTTAAATTTCATTAGGGTCTACTTATTCCATGCCAAACTACAGAGGCTTCACAGTCTCCATAAGCTATTTCCATGTTCTCTGGGTAGAACTGGATACATTGCCTTCCAATTTGTCGATTGCTCTGCTTGGAAAACACTCATAGTGCCACTTAATTTTTTGAAGCTGAAAGGTTTCAGAGATCTTTCTTTAGGAGAACTCCCACGCTTTGGACTTGTATCCTCTTAGTCCAGAGTGTCTCAAATATAATCGCTTATTTCCAAACTTGTGAAAAGAAAGAACTGTGATGGTTTCACTTAGATGTGGAGTGGTTTTGGTTTAAATTCAGTTTGCACTTAATTTTAGATTAAGTCATAGGTGGGAGCTCTGACCAGCCTGAAGGCCAGTATTTTTAAGGTTCAGGAGGAAATAGTGTCTTTTAGTGATCACTAACAGCTGGAAAAGATCTTTGTCATGTAGAAAGATAATTATGGGGACATATGCTTGATCCTCAAACTATCCTATGGAGTTTGCCCTCGTCATCAAGGCAATGTACTATGTATGACAATGAATGAATGCATGCAGACTTTTGAAGCAGTTTAGAATTGCCTATACCTTCTTGATTGCACAGTGATCACACCTTCTAGCTATATGGTAAATGCCTAGAAAAGCTAAACTTCTCTGTTATCATTGCATTGTTTCAGCAGCGGGTTCTAAACGCTACAAACAGACAAGATAAAGCAGAACAAGGATCCAGACTAGTTGCATTACCTCACAACAATATAAAAATATCAGAAAGGGAGTGAGAGCCATTTTTCTCATTTGTGAGGATTATTTTAACTATTCAAAAGCTGAAGGAGGAAGTTATATTTAAGTTGGGGAACTATTCCCATGGATATATGGAATTAAGAGAGAACGCTGCACTGGAATGGACTTGAGAAATTTCTAGCCAAACATGATCTAAATATTAATGTATAATTGCAAGAGCTATAGATTTTGACAGAAAATAGGATTCTAGGCAGTTTCATAAGCAAGTGCCTGAGAGAAATTCTGGGCATTGGCTAGACTGGAAAAAGCTTCCCAAGTTATTCTATACCAGAAACAGAAGGAGGAGCTGAATATGCTTGATATGTATTTGCTAGATGTGAACATAGCAAGAACCTTCTTTTTGTGGTCTAATAAGACCTATGCGAGGAAATGGTGACATGCAAAAATTACTGTGAACTGCTAGCTGCGAGCATGGGGTAGCAAATTGCTGTGCCAGTGTCGTGGTTTAACCTCAATCGGCAACTGAGCACCACACAGCCGCTTACTCACTCTCCCCCACCCGGTGGGATGGGGGAGAGAATTGGAAGAGCACAAGTGAGAAAAACTCGTGGGTTGAGATAAAAACAGTTTAATAATTGAAATAAAATTATAATAATATGATGATAATAATAATAATACACAAAGCAAGTGATGCACAGTACAATTGCTCACCACCCGCCGACTGATGCCCAGCCAGTCCCCGAGCAGCGGCCCCCCCCGGCCAGCTTTCCCCAGTTTATGTACTGAGCATGACGTCACATGGTATGGAATGTCCCTTTGGCCAGTTTGGCTGTGCTCCTTCCCAGCTTCTTGTGCACCTGCAGCCTTCTCAGTCGGTAGAGCATGGAAAACTAGAAAGTTCCTGGCTAGTGTAAGCATTACCTAGCAACACCTAAAACATGGGTGCGTTATCAACTTTGTTCTCATCCTAAATCCAAAACACAGCACTGTACCAGCTACTAGGAAGGAAATTAACTCTATCCCTGCCGAAACCAGGACAATATCCACCCCTTATTCTATACCATCTGCATCATGCTCGTCTCATATTTTCCAGTACATTTTCATTAATTACCACCCCCTTTTTTCCTATATATATATATACACACACACACACACATACAGAGATATCATTCCCTTAGTCTGTGGGCCATCCCTCTAAAACGTTCGGTGAGTTCATTTAGTCCATGACTTCGGGCTCCATCTGTCATAATCTTTCAGGGCAGGAAGAATGGAGATGGTATGTGGTGTTGGATTGTTTCATGTTGAAGTCAGTTCTGGAACCATCATCACTGTGCTTTGCTT